ACATAAGTTTGCATACAACTTGAGAAATCAGTTGGAAACCACTGATGTTGATCAATACTAGGCTAAACAAGAAGGATTTTAGTTTAGAATTTTATTTTATTTATTTTGACTTTTTGACTTTTTGACTGGTCCCATCACAGAATTTGAGGCTTTTTAGTAACATTTTTATATTATTTATATATTGTAATTATTACACATTATAGGGTATATTTATATTTTATTTAGTAGTTGGAAATGATATTAAACAAGCTCTAAAGAATATTAATTCATACAGACAAAAAACAGTTTTGCATACTTTCTAAAATATTACTGATTTGTTTTTGATACTTAAACTTTCATACTACTGCCGTTTTTAGAATTTTACTCACTTATGTTCACCAAGGCTGTATTTATTTGATCAAAATTACAGTAAAAACAGCTAATCTTATTACTTTTTGAAATAAATGTAATTTATTCCTGAATTTTCAACTCAAAGCAGAGACGTCAGTGTCACATGATCCTTCAGAAATCATTTTAATATGCTGATTTGTGGTTGTGCTGCTTAATATTTTTATGGAAACCGATAAATTTTTTTCCCCAGGTTTTTTAATGAATAGAAAGTTATTCAGCAGTTATTAGATTTTTTTTAAATAATGCAAAAAAAATGCAGTTTAATGCGTCCTTGCTGAATAAGCATATTTTTTTTTAATAAAATAGTAATAAATAAATATAAAAAATAAACAAACTTTTGAACAGTAGTATATCTTAGCCAAATAAGTCAAGTGACAGTTCTGTGAGTTGTCCCTAAACACTTACACTGACCCTGGTCCATCGGGCTGTCTATATTTTCGAGCCCTAAAATAAAAACCAAAAGTGGGACTGAACTAGGGGTGTGCGATATATATCGTCTGCGATAATATCGTAATATGAAGAATATTAAAAACATTAGGAGTCAGCTGTCTTCGGCAGTCCTTAAGGTACCAGCACAATAACACACTCAGCAAAATATCGTCAAATTATCGTTATCGATAAAATCCCATAAAATATCGAGATATCATTTTTTTGTCAATATCGCACACCCCTAGACTGAACATGAGCAACTTCTCCCATCCCTCTCTCCCTCTCTTAAACGTACACCCTCGCACACAAAGGTACACGGGGTCGCACACACTCGGCCTCCATTGTTATGTATGGCTGTGTTAATCTGACTGCTGGCCTCTCTTCCGCTCTCTTTGTCCCGTCCGCCAGCCCAGTGGCAGAAGTCAACAGCACCGCACAAAGAGCCCGCAAAACTGGTTAACGGCGAGGCCTGCTTGAGGCTTTGATCAGCTTTTTTAGGGTTCAGTCCCATGTTCCCCCTCCCTGTGCCGGGGAGTCTGCTGGAGGAGGCTGAATGGTTACACTCGAGGGAGGTTGTTAAGGGAGACGAGTGCGGAGAGAGGTACTCAGGATGGATGCGTGTGTCACTGGTTTAGTAGGGGATGTTATGTGCTGTCTTTACAAACACTGTACCCCCTTTATTTACTTAAATGGTTAGTTCATCCAAAAATGAAAATTCTGTCATAATTTACTCACTCTCATGTAATTCCAAACCCATAAGACTTTCATTCATCTTCAAAACACACAAGATATATTGAATGAAATATGAGACATTTATGTTCCTCCTTTGAAAGTCCATTGCCCCAAAAATGTGTCTGAAGAAACACAAATTCTTCATATCACGAACAGTTTTAATTGAAGCTTTTAGTCACATATAAACAATGATTAATGCACATAGAGCACATCAAATATAGTAAACATAAGTTCAGACCTGCTTGCTGGACACTGTTCATATCGATTACATTTACGATGTCTATACATTTTTTTGAAGCGTGAAAGTTTTGAGGGAATTCATTTGTTATTTTTGAAGATGCAACATGAAAATAACATGAGGGTGAGTAATTGATGACAGTTTCCTTTTTTAAGTGAAATATCCCTTTAATACACTTTCTGGATCAGTGTGCATTATTCCGAAGAAAAAAAAATAGATATTTGTAATGTTGTGTTGTTACACTCTAAAAAATGCTGGGTTGTTTCAACCCAACTTTGGGTCAAATATGGACTAACCCAACTTTTGGGTTAAAAATTTAATGTAAAAATTTAACCCAATGGTTGGGTTAGTCCATATTTGAAACAACCCAGCATTTTTTAGAGTGTGTGTAATATGCTCTCCTTTTCAGCTAAAATTACCTAGGTCACATGAGCTGGGAAAATAAAATGAATAACCACATAGCTGGTTAGCATTTAAAGCATTTTTAAGCTACTGTTTTAGGTGATTTAGCCTCTCTAAAATGGTGTTGGTTGTTAATGCAGTAATTTATTGCCACTTAACAGTAATTAAGTGATAACTTTGAAATTTGAAAAGAACATTGACATACTTATAGATGCTTTTAAGGGTGAACTTGACCTTCAGCTTCTGTATTTGGGTAGGTACTGTTGTGTTTTCACCATTGATTGCAATCCAACATCAAGGTCTTGGTCCGTTATGGTATTGAATGCCTGGTTCTTATGATCCACTCATTTCCGATTAGTCAATAACATCCTGCTCTACCTTTTTTTCCTCATTGAATATTCTGCTTCATTTGGAAATACGTCTCATTACAAATGCTTTGCTCGATGGTGGGATCTTCAAATTCGTTTAAATGCATAATGCATGCAAAAATGGCAAGCTGCAAACAACAAAGTGGACCGAATTTTATGCCCATACTCAGAAGTCTGGCTGAGTGAGACTACAGTGGTGGTATTTCATGGATCAGTCTAAAGAAGTCCATATAATTCCTAGAGAAAATGATTCATTAGTATAACTTATTCATCTCAAAATGTAGAATGAAATTTCAAATCTGCCATGTTTGCTCCTGGTGGCTCATGGGTAGTCAATGTGCTTTATAAGTACTAATAAACAGCCAATATGCTAGTAATATGCATGCTAATAAGCAACTAGTTAATAGTGAGAACTGGTCCTTAAAATAAAGTGTTACCGATCTATTTTGTGCCAATCACCTGAACCCACAAAGGAAAGTGATGTGACAGCCCTGATTGGCTTTGGATCATGTGGGGTTTAAACCTACAACCTGACCAAATCTTTAACCACCATGCCACACCACCCTCATATCATTACCCTGCAATGAATCATAATCCTCTGTTTCTGAACACATTTAATGATTAATAATAAAAATTATGAAAATGCATGCATTACGATGCATTAAACACATTAACAGTGACAGTAAAGCATTTATAATGACACAAATTATTTATATTTCAAATAAAATCTTTTTTTTTTTTTTTTACATTCCGAATCCTAAAAACGAATGCATCACAGTTTCCCCCAAAAAAATTCAGCAGCAGTGATTTTCATTATTGAACAGTAATAGAATGATTTCTGAACAATTATCTGACACTGAAGACTGGAGTAATGATGCTGAACATTCAGCTTTGCTTTGCAGGTGTATATTAAAATAGAAAACAGTTATTTTAAATAAAATTACTTTTTTTTACTGTATTTGATCGATTAAATGCAGCCTTGTTGAGCATAAGAGACGTAAAGTGTATATTGACTGTGATATTCTTTGTGGCCTCTTGTTTGTTTCAGAACTGGCTAAATGAATTTTCCAAGGAGGATCCCATTAACAAGTTTTAGTAGCAGTTTAGTTCAGGACCGTGATTCAGCTGCGAGAGGAAGCACTCAGAGAGTCCCAGACAGTTTGTGTTTTGAGATACGCTTTCACGTGGCCTGTTCCCTACACACAGAGTACTCTTAAAGTCTCAGTCTCTCTCTCTAATGGGAGCTTGTGTTCATGGTTAATTAGTTTCTCCTACACATCCGTTTAGTTCTCCATGGACCCAACGATGGTGGCCGGGCGCACGCCAGCTTTCTTCTCTCTCAGACTATTAGTCAGCTGGAATTCATTAAAACACACACACACTGATGAAGTTGCACCCTGCGCGCACACCTCGTATTTTTATTTGTTGGTTCTATGTTAATTAGCATACCTATGAGATGTACAAGTAGCATCTGTCGCTATTCCGCTATTCCCCCCTCCCTTGCTCTACTTTTCATCCCTCCATCTCCGTCTGGCTGCGAAGGGTTTTTTGTGATGTTGGTTATGGCTTACTCTCTAGCGCCCCCTCTGGTGGTAGTGTATATTTTATGTTGATGCCAATTGGAAAAATACTATTTTATTATTTGGGATTTGATGTGAAGACTAGGTGGATTTATGAAAATATTGCTAATATTCATATGAGAAGTACATTATACTGTCTTTGGTAAGCATAATCAAACTTCCACACCCGAGTTCCACCCCCTTCATGATTCCTTGTTCCTTCCACCTCAACCCCGGGAGGACGGAACTTCTTATACGCGGTCAAAATTGCCAAATCACAACCAGACGTCTGACTGTAAGCCTCGGCAGCAGCAAGCAGCGCCAGCCAGCTCTCCTTGTGATTATCGGGGATCTCGGGGTTAGAGGATTTGGTGACAGAGGCCATGATGTGTTTATGCAACAACCTATGGCTCTGTTGAACTGTTTTCGGAATTTGTTCTTTTGGAATGTTGAAATGCTGGTGTGTGTGTGTGTGTGTGTGTGTGTGTGTGTGTGTGTGTGTGTGAATGTGTCTCTTTTTGTGTGTGAAAATATGAATTTGAATTTTGTTTAATTAATTTTCAGTACAGTTAGCACGTGACGCTAAACTATCATCAATAATTGTTGGTATCATGCTGAATTTGATGGCCCTGGTCAGCTTTGGTCAGTTCCCTGTAAGGCAGTTTATGTATTTTCATTACTTTGGACTCAATGGAGCTTTCTGTATGCATGCTCTTGAGAATGAGCTAAAAAAAAAGGTCAAATTAGGGGAGTGGGCCTCTTGTACTATCCACACACACACACACACACACACACACACAATCTCTTACTGAAGTTTTATCTAATTCTATGTTGATGGTTTCAGTTTGTTTTTCTCATGTACTGTTCTTTTTTTTTTTATAGAATATGCAAATGATGAAGGGAATAAAAAGAACTGGACTATATCAGAAAAGGATAAATGGGTAATGTTGCATTTTTTTTATTTTTTATATCAAATCTGAAATTAATATAAAGATAATCCTGGTATTTTATAACATACTTTTCCAGTTATTTTATTAAACGGAAAATAATTGTTATTTTTAAGGATTGTCTTTTACAGGAGGTGATTACCATTTTCTGTGTTTGTGTGTGTGTGTGTGTGTGTGTGTGTGTGTGTGTGTTTAGGCTCAGATCTGTAATAAAGGATTTGGCCCGAGGCGTGTCTCAAACCGTTACTACACTGAAAAATCCATCACGTGTCACAACTGCAGCAAGTCCGGCCATCTCTCCAAAAACTGTCCCACAACAAAGGTATATCATTATCCACCCTTCAAAGATCAAGATCCCCTCATCTCCACTCACTGAACGTGCTGACACCTATAGTACCGCATTAGCCAAAAAAACTGTTAACTATTTAATTGAGCTATTCTTGCAAAATGCTATGATTGACCAATCAGAATCAAGTGTTTCAAATTTCAGACCATTGGATGTAAAATAAAAATAGATAAAAATTAATTTTGAGTCAAGAGTTTTTGTGTGGGTGGAGTGTTAAACATTTGCATATGTAATTTTAATTCACTGGATTGTCAAAAATAACAGTACTACATAGGTATTTAATACACTGCTGCTCAAAATTTTGGGGTCAATAAGATTTTTTGTAAGAAGGAAATTAATACTTTTATTCAGTAAAGATGTGTTAAATTTATTACAAGTGACAGTGAAGACATTTATGTTACACAAGATTTCTATTTCAAATAAATGCTGTTAAAAATAAATAAATGTACCACAGTTCTCTCAAAAATATTAAGCAGTACAATTTTTTTCATTATGATAATAATCAGAAATGTTTCTTGAGCAGCAAATCAGCATATTACTGTAGAATGATTTCTGAAGGATCATGTGACACTGAAGACTGGAGTAATGATGCTGAAAATTCAGCTTTGATCACAGCAATAAATAAAATATGAAAATATATTTAATGGAAAACAGGTGTTTAAAATTTTGTTGCTATTTCATAACTGTTTTTCATTTTCATAACTGTTTTTCTTTATATTCTATCAAATAAATGCAGCCTTGGTGAACATAGGAGATTCTTTTAAAACTTTTAAAAAGTCTTACCAATCTCTTGTCTTTTGAACGTCAGTGTATTCAAAACTTTTTTGGCCTGAATTTGTATATTTTTCATATATTATCATATATTACCATGCTATTCTCTCTACTTCCTTTATATATATATATATATATATATATATATAAATGCTATACAAATTATGAGCATGGGTCTTGAGGCTAAAAGGTTTTAAGCTGTTGTACGTTTAAGTGTTCTTTCAATTTGGAGGATTATCTGTCCTTTTGATACTGCTCTTTTTTGTTTTTTAATAATATTTGTTTGACAGTTTAATCTGTTTTGTACACTGTTAATATTGTTTGTACAGACTTATTTGAACAAAATAGCCTTGGAAACGGGGATATTTATTATTATTATTATTATTATTACAAAACTTTGATGATATTCACAGCGTATTCATTTTAATATTTCATTTTAATATTCTTAAAAAATAGGAAACCTAACCTGAAAATAGTTTTCTAGTTTTTATGCTTTACAGACAATACCATATAGCAATTTAAAAGTGTCAAGAGTTAGTGTTGTCAAAAATACTGATGTCGGTATCAGTCGGTACAGAGAGTTTTAAAATGTGACGATACCAGTATTTCCTGCTAGCATTTTGAGTGCTGTTTTAAAGCCGCGTCTATCAGCGGATCCATCTATGAGCAGATAATAAGGGATCCGCTGATAGACGTGGCTTTCAAATGCTCCCATGTGTATCTGTGTAAGCGTTCGGTGAAGAGCGTGAAGCGATGATCATTGTAGCCAATCACAGACATATCTGTTGAGCGCGAGAACACAATGGCCAATCAGAGCTGTTTAAGAATCCGCTCAAAATGCTAGCGGGAAATGCTGGTATCGTCACATTTTTAATATTTCAGTACCGACATCTGTACTTTTGACAACACTAGTCAAAGTTGTCCTTATTGTGACTTAGTGTGTGTGTGTGTTTGTGAGCAGAAGGTGCCATGCTGCTCATTATGTGGGCTTCAGGGACACTTGCTGAGGACCTGTCCGAACCGTCACTGTTCTAACTGCTCATTGCCTGGCCACACCTATGACGACTGTCTGGAGAGAGCTTACTGGCACAAACGCTGCCGCCGCTGTGGCATGACCGGACATTTCTTTGACGTGAGTAACGTTAGTGCTGTGTGTGTGTTGGTGTTGTGTGGACCATGGAGCTGAGATATGTGTGTGTGTGTTGCACTGTAAAAAATGACCGTGAATTTAACGGTAAAAGACTGTAATTTAACTGTAAATTTAAGTTAAAACCTAAAACGTTGCTACCTTATTTTTTACGGTAAAATTCCGGCAACCACAGCTGCTGTTTTTTTTTACCGTATATTTTACGGAATTTTTTTTACAGTGTGGGTTCGGAGTGTATTGTATTGCATTGCATTGTGTGTTACTTGTTTGTTTGTTTGTGTGTGTGCATCTATCTCTTGGGCCATTCTTTCTCTCATTAAGACAGACGCTTCACAGGCTGTGAGTGGGACACACGCTCCACTCGTCACCCCCAACAACAACCCCACCGAGAGGGACAAAAATGGGGGAGGAAGAGAAACAAGTCGAAATGTTACTTTTAGAAACGGCAGGAGAGATGAAAGAGAGAAGCTATAGCTTGTTAAAACAAAAGTTGGGAACATATTTTATAACTAGGGATGAGTCAGGATCGATTATTGAAGTGAAGTTTTTTTTTGCTTTGATCTCTGGTCTTGCATTGTTTTTTTTCAGCATCTCACACTATGAGCGTTGAATTTTGAAGATAAGATTAAGTTCAAAATATTGTCCCCTCATTCAGTTAAATGGTGTTTTTGAACACAAGAACACATTCCCTCACCGTAAAAGCTAGTTGAAGTTTGTTCATCTGCTGTCTTGTGATTGGGAAACAGTTTTAATGTAATTTTAGTTTAAATTGAAACGGAATTGGCCCCATTCATGCATAACACGACAAACAAACACGTTTAGGATTTGGGTGCAGTTAAACAGTCCTGCTTCAAGATATTCTGCTGCATTCTATTAGTCAAAGTAAAAAGTTGTTCTGATCATCTAAACTCAGTTAAGTTCTCACATCACATGATCATAATCATAATGGCTATCATCCTCTAAGACTTCTATAGTTGTTTATGAATCTAGAATAAGCAGTAAATATAGAATGCTTACTGGTTAACTGAACAAAAAATTCTTCAGCAGAACATGACTTAATTATGCTTATAATCTATAATTACACCAGTCTCAAAAACTGCTATGTGGTGTTTGTTAATGAACTCTGAGAGTTAACAAATATCAGCCGGTCCATTTGCTTTCCGGTTTCTGGCTCGCTGTAACACACTTATTCATAATAAATGACCGCAGTTCTTGATATTTACATGTTTGGGATATGTAAATGTTGAGCACTGAATTTAGTCTGAATGCAAACTTGTTTGCCAGATGTTTACTTATTGCGTGAAGCCTCAAATATTCAGACTCAAAAAATATTCAAATATTCAATTCAAAATTTAGATTTATGACTACTTTTTTCAGTTTTATGTTTTTTATTACTTTAAACCTTTTTTTTTTATATATTTTTTAAGTTTTTTTCTATTTAAACCTTTTTTTTCTTCATGTTTAGTGATTTGTAGCACTTCTTGAAAATGAAATGACTGGTCACTCTGATAACATGTTCGAACAATATTTGTGCTTAATTTGCCACAAAGCTGATTTGGATGTGAAAATATGAACTTGTTTCAAATTGGCTTCAGTATTCGTGTAATGTTCCTCAGTGTTCAAAAGACCTCTATTTTCCCCCATCAAAGCATCCTTATATTTGGGTCTATATATATTTCACATATTTACAAATTATATAATTTATTTTTTTTAGGCAGTAAACCTTCCTGATAAACAGAACAACACTGTAAGGACTGTCATTTAATTCATGCCCAGAACAAAAAAGAAAAAAATATTTGGCACCCTCAAACATGTCTGGAAGTTAAAGACAACAGCTTTTGTGTTTGGCAGTATGGAAATGTGTTTTTAATAGCTTCACAGTGTCACAGTGAGCGAGGGAAAGGAAGGCAGATTCTTAAAGATTTTGAATGTTTCCTTCAATACACTCAGCAGGGTAAACCCTACTGAGACTGCTGAGTTCTCAGCCTCCCTCTCTGCCCGGCTCTCAGGTGGGGTTCAATGAAAAGCTAACTGTATAAATGAGTCCAGCTGCTGTGCCTTCAGCACTTTCAGTTTTCAGAGAGATGTAGGAAGCTCACAGGGCAAATGCGCTAACCAGCCTCGCTCAGCGTCTGTTGAGGCTTGAGCTGTCAACACTGCACCTCTTTCTTCTCCTACTATTATCCTTTCCTTTTCAAATTTTTCCTTTTTCTGTTTTCCTCTTACTGTTCCATTTTCTTTTCCCTTTTCGCTGTTTCATTTTCTTTTTTCCTTTTTCATATTTTTTCCCTTTTGCATTTCCATTTTATTTTTCCTTTGCCTTTTTGCTCTTCTCTTCTCTTCTCTTCTCTTCTCTTCTCTTCTCATTACTGTTCCATTTTCTTTTCCCTTTTCGCTGTTTCATTTTCTTTTTTCCTTTTTCATATTTTTTCCCTTTTGCATTTCCATTTTCTCTTCTCTTCTCTTCTCTTCTCTTCTCTTCTCTTCTCTTCTCTTCTCTTCTCTTCTCTTCTCATCTCCACTTCTTCTCATCTCGTCTCTCATCTTCTTTTGTTTTACTGTTTTATCTTCATTTTCATATTAATTTAATATTTGCAAATTTACTTTCATGAACTGGTTTTCTCTATCAGTCCTTCCAAAAACATCAACCAGTTCATGAATAGTTTCCAAATAGGCCCTAAAAGGTTTTACTTTTCGCTTCTGCAGTACATTGAATCAAAGATGACAAAACAAAGCTTGGAAATGTATGGTAGAACAGAAACAAAGGTAAAAAGAGAAGGGGAATGTCTCAACTTCATGTCCTAATGGATATCTGAAGCACTCCATTCATTTTTATTTTTTTTATTTTTTATTTTTTTTTGCATTATCATAAACCTCTGTGTGATTATTTTTACTTGTGTTTCAGAACTGCCAGACGTCATGTAAATATTGGGTTTTCACGGTGACTTTTTCTGTTCTCAACAGGCCTGCCCAGAAATCTGGAGACAGTACCACCTTACAGTAAGCTTTGTTTCCTTTGTCTCTCATATAAAATGTGAAGGACAAGTTATGTACGAATTCATACAGAATCAGCCTGAGGGAATTCCAGGTGACCGACTTGTGTTAAACGTCTGAATCAAGAGAGTCATTCGTGACAAATGCAAAGATGTCAGTCAAGCCAAGTTTATGTGTAATGAAACCTCACATATATATAAACACACACATTCATCATGAGCACTATAGTCGTGACTGTGGCTTGCAGAGAAAAGACTCCATGTGTCCCGCTGGTTTTGCATTTGTGTGAACGTGTATAAATGGTGGACTCCTGATGTGTGTCGAAGTGGAGGAGAGATCAGCTTTCATTCACCACAAAGGGCTGCTTTAAAAACTAGCCTTGTGTTAAAGTGTATAAAGTCACTTAATACACTGAATTCAGAAACGTCTCTGAGATATTTGTCACTTTTTAAAATGACACGATTTGTTTACACGAGTTTTATTGAGTCGCTGTGTGCTTTTCTCTGGATTTGCATCTGTGTGTATGCTTTTCGTCACAGAATAATCTGAAAGTGGTTAATTGGCAAACTCACTGAGCATTTTCTCCCCAAAGATCCACCAGGGTGAGAAGGCATGTGACAGTCACACGCACAGCTAAACATCAAGGGGCGCACTGAAACATCTGCACGCACACACACATCCGCTCAGACTCCTGGAATATAGACCTTAGCCTAAGAGAAAAGAGCAGGTTGTTTGTCAATTAAAAGACGTGATAAAGCATGAAATGGGCTGCCAGCATCGCGCTGCGCAGAGCAGTCACTCGACCCGTCACACACACACACAGTCTAATTAGCTAGGCTGCCTAATGAAAAGGCCAGATCGTTAGCGCTAGCCTGGTGCGCGGGGTGGCAGAGTGGAGAGAGAGAAAAAAGAAAGGTGGGATGAAAAGAAAATGTTGCCTCTAGGGCTGTTAAAGAGCTGCGTGGAGGGGTAAAAGTCTTAAAAATCTTCCTCACTTTTACTGTTTCTCAGCTTTATGATTTCTTTCCTCAGTGTTGAATAAAAATAGTGTTTCCTGAGTTTGTACTGATTAAGTTCATGGCACCAAGAAGGAAACTAATATTATTATCCGTCTTTAAAAAGCATGTCTGTTGTTTACAAAAATACCATAGTTATTAAAGTGATTGTTTCTACAAGAAAAGTGATGCCAGTGGTTTTGGTGGGTCACAGTTTTATTCTGACTGCAAGGAAAAATGTCAAAATAAATCATAAAACATAATTCACAAAAATAAAACATAATTCAAACAAATAATTTCCTACAATAAAACCCAAGTGTACAATTGTCTAATTTAGTTTTACAGGACAGCTTCTGCTGTTCACTGTAATTGTTTTATATTGTTTCATATAATATAACATAATATCAGTTTTCATATTCTACATGTTGATAGGCTTGTGCTTGGTAATATTAATGCATGTCTGAAATCTATTTATATCGGGACATTTTAATTAAATATTAAATATTTGGTAACATAGTTACACGTTACATGTGCTTACTATAGTAAAAATAGTAAATTATGCATAATTACCATAATTACTAATCCTAATCCTAACACTGACCCTATAGTAAGTACATGTAGTTAATAAATATTATTCAGCAGTTAGACTGTAATGTCACTTTAAAATGAAGTGTAATTCAATTTTGATAATGTGTTGATACAATTTTGATAGACTTAAAATCTGGGTCCTGAATCAAAAATAAGATGAGACACACCAATTAAAAATGTAAAAGAAAGAAAGAAAGCAGGGTGATTTACACAGTTTGAAGGAAATCCTGTATTAAAGATTTTACAGGAGTAAAATAGAAAATATTATTTCAGTGGTAACTGTATAGTTACCAAAAAAACAAGAAAAAATGGTTATATCTGAGCTAAAAGACCTTTTGCTGTCACAGTGAATTGCTGTCCGGCACACTGTCTGTATGGATGACATATGTGGACTTCTGTGAGCCTGTAGGCTTTATAATGGTGTAAAATAGCATGTGACGGTTTCCTACGGGTCCACTTGGTTCTGCTGGGCTGAGTCCATCTGCTTGTGCATTACTTTCATCCTCTGGGTCCTGCCCTGGTTCTGTTTATGTGTGTAGGTACTTAAATTGAGTCACCCTCAACAGACGGTCTTTAAGGCCTTTAAACTGTCCTGGAATCTAGAGGGCTCAAAGTTAAATACAGTACAGATACCCCTGTGTGTGAGTGTGACTGTGTGTGTGTGTGTGTGTGTGTGTGTGTCGTGCTTTGGGAGCTCTGGCCTGTCGCCCTATGCTAGGCCCAGTGAGGTGTGAAAAGGCATTCTGTCAGACTAGTCCCTTTCTACTGGGTCCGTTTATACTGTGTGTGTGTGTGTGTGTGTGTGGGTGTGTGTGGGTGAGGCCTGCACCTGTCTTCACTAACAAACAACCATTCAACTCTACTAAGTTTGCCACAAAACCCAAAGGAGACAGACAGAGAGAAGTGTGAGTGTTCACAGAGAAGCTATGCAAAGAGTGAAAGTTTTACAAAGCTAATGCAGTGTCTGGGCCAAATTTTCTGTTTGGTGTGATTATGCTGTTCTTCGGTTCAATTCTCATTTAATGAACTTTACGGCCACATTATATAATATGGTCATAACATGTTTTAACTCATTAAGGACATCACTTACTCCGGAAGTTAAATCAAATATTCTTTAATCATAAAATACAGTAATAATCTTTAAAATACAGTTTTAAGCATGTTCTGTACACACACGCACAACTGGACATATTTTTAGGTGCATTTAGCAACGAGCTACAGAGCTTTTACGTTTTGGTTCAGATATTACGGGACTGAAGGGGATACGCGTTCCAACCCTTTTAAGAGGATATTGGTGAGCAATTACCATTTTTAAAACTTTTTTTTTAAATCCCTGCTTTCCTCAAACTGATCAGCCTAGTAATCCTTTACACTGTAATGAAAATTAATTGAATCATTAGCATAAGTGAAATGTATGAGGGATGTACAGTTTATGGGTTCAAAGTGATCAAGCGATTATTAAGAGAAAGTCAACAATAAAGAGAAATGGTTTTGCTGTCGATATAAACATTTCTGGATGTTATTCAGTAATTCTGACATTGCAAGACCGAGCCATATATGGTCCAAAAACCTTATGATGAATTCAGTGTTAGCAGGAAATATGACTTATTCAGTATAAATGATATTTTTCAGGTGGATTGTTCATTTAGTTACACCTTATGCCATCAGGAGATAGAAAGGTCTGGAATCAGCCTGTTCAAATGTTTGAATGGTAAGCAAATATGTAATTTGTAGATGGCTACATACATTTATGTGTGTTGGTGTGATAGACATACGGCACCATCTACTGATATAGATGATGTACTACAGCAGTACTTCAAGGGCAAATACTGCCAAAAATATCAGATTAATAAATTAATTAATAATAATAAATTAAGTAAATAAAATGATTCTTTTTTTTTCTGGTTGCAATTTCATAATATGGTATGCTTTTATAATCCTTATAAGTGATTTACATAAGATATTTGCCAATTCAGAAGAAATCCAATTGCACTGAAGAAAGGCCCAAGTCATATCTAGGGATCAGAATATCATAGAGAGTTATGAGGGTTTGGCTCTTTTGATTTGGGCCTTTTAGCAACCGCCTTGCAACAAGGTGATGTATTAAAGATACAGATGCAAAAATGTAATTGTAACTACCTTTATCTGTAATCAGTATAAATCAATAGTAAGTCCGGTTGCCAGGTAAACATTTGTGAATGTGTGTGCTGACATTTGTGTGAATGTAATGACTGAAGAGGAGCTCTGTCCATGAGAGAAGGATCTGACAGTTTATTTAGAGTGTTTGAATCGATTAGACTGCCTCGGGAACAGCTCAGTGAAAATGTCAAAGCAGAGCGCTCAGATAAAGCTGTTCTTCCTCACGGTGGTGATGTTGTGCTGCTGAGCTTTAGAAGAGTCTGTGATTCCTGTGTGGAACTGTCAGCACAAGACATCAGAGTTCAGGGGAAGAACAGTTTGAATCAATTGAGAAATTAACGTGTGGGAGCTTGAATTGAGAATTTAGTTTGAATGCATTTGATTAATTTGATTCTGATTTTATGCTCAGGCTGCATTTATTAGATCCAAATACAGTAATATTGTGAAATATTCTTACAATTTCAAATAACTTTTTTCTATTTTAATTTATTTTACATATATTCCTGTCATCAAAGCTTCATTTTCAGCATCATTACTCCAGTCTTCAGTGTCACATGATCTTTCAGAAATCATTCTAACATGCTGGTGTTTCAGAAAGATTTTATATATATATATTAATACATTGAGACATGATATATTTTTTCAAGATTATTTTTAATGAATATAATAGAAAGTTTAAAAAAAATCAGCATTTTTTAAATATAAATCATTTGTAATAATCCACTGGAAAGGAAAAAAATATTTTATATATAAACAAAACATATTTTTCTTAAATGTATACATGCATGTGTGTGTATTTATATATGCATAATAAATATACACAGTACACGCACATATATTATGTAAACAAAAACAATTATTTTGGATGTGATTAATCATTTGACAGCACTAATATATATTATTACATTTGATTTGAATGGAAACAGATTGTGAAGTGAATGGGAGTTCAGGATGTTCTGGATCCCTCTTCATCCAGAAAATTGCGTTCAGCTTCCCACCTCTCTCTCTCTCTCTCGCTCTAAAGAGACATATTATAGGTAATTTATGGTTTCTTAATCCATAATCTTTATTAATTGTCTAATGAGTGATGTCATTTTGATGGAACATCTTATATTGAATTCATGCCTGGTTGAAAGTGGTGAATGTCTTGACATGATTTCTCAGTACCCCACCCCTTCCCTGTCTTTCTGGGGGGTTTTCTATTACGTATGCAAAATCTCCCCAAATCTGCCACCTCTCCCTAATCCACCAAGCACACAAAGACTGTGTGTGCATGTTTGAATT